ACTCCTTATGAGCTATGGACTAGTCATAAACCAAACTTAAAGGATTTACGACCTTGGGGTTGTGCTGCATATGTAAAAGATTCTTTTAGCAAGTTTGGTAAATTAGGTCCAAAAGGCAAGAAATGTATCTTTATAAGATATTCAGAACACTCCAAAGGGTATGTGTTCATTGGTGAATTAGAGGATGGAAGTGGTACTGAGATTGAATCGCGAGATGTCACTTTTTTGGAAAATGATTTTCCAAAGAAGGACGAGGTAATATGAAATGTTGAACTCAGATAGTCAGCAAGTGTCTTCTGGCACAGTTGATAATCAAATTGATAAAGATCTTATTCTTGATCCGAGTGGGAATGGGAGTGGGAACTCTCAATCCCGAAATCTTTCTGACGAACCTGAATTTCAACTACGAAAGATTGCCAGGAAAAATATACCCAAACGTATGAAATTTAATATTATATTTTCTTGGTATCTCCCACAAAAATGGATGAGCCAAAGTCTGTGACTGAGGCTTTATCGAGCCCTGGAAAAGATGAGTGGATGAAAGCAATGAAAGAAGAATTAGAGTCCATGAAAACCAATGAAGTCTGGGATCTAGTTGATCTTCCGCCTGGTCATAGAGCCATTGAGAACAAATGGGTTCTCAAAGTTAAACACAAAGCGGATGGGTTAATAGAAAGGTACAAGGCACGATTGGTGACAAAAGGCTTTACTCAAGAAGCTGGAATAGATTATGAGGAAACATTTTCACCAGTTGTGAAGTTTACCTCAATTCGCTTACTTTTGGCTATTGTTGCACGTTTGGATTTGGAATTACATCAAATGGACGTGAAGACAGCTTTTCTCGATGGAGAACTGAACGAAAAAATCTACATGGAACAACTTGTAGGCTTCATCGTTAAAGGCCAAGAAAAAAAGGTCTGTAAATTGAATAGATCTATTTATGGTCCAAAGCAATCTTCAAGGCAATGGTATTTGAGATTTCACAAGGAAATGATCTCATATGATTTCACCATGATCGATGAAGACCATTGCATTTATGTGAAGAAGTCTAATGGGATGTTTATAATTCTTTCTCTTTATGTGGACGATATTTTATTGGCCGAAAACAATTTGGAGTATTTGAAAACTATCAAGTCGTGGCTTTCAAAGTCATTTGACATGAACGATATAGGCGAGGCAGACTATATCCTTGGAGTTAAGATCCAAAGAGACCGTCCCAAAATGTTATTGAGTCTATCTAATCAAGAAACTTAGATAAAGAAAATTTTAGAACATTTTCGCATGAATGATTGCAAATCCATGGATACTCCTATAGCGAGAGGTGAAACTTTAAGCCTTGAAATGTGTCCCAGGATTGAAAATCAAAAAGAAGACATGTCTCGAGTTCCATATTCAAGTGTTGTCGGGAGCTTGATGTACGTTATGATGTGTACTCGCCCAGACATATGTTATGTCGTAGGTCTGGTTAGCAGGTATCAATCCAATCCTGGAAGAGATCATTGGAAAGCTGTGAATAGAATATTCAAATACCTGAAGGGAACTGCAAATTATTCACTATGTTATAGTGGAAATGGTTTATACTTGAGAGGATATACAGATGTTGATTGGGCTGGTGATCAGAATGATAGAAAATCAACATCCGGTTATGCCTTCTTACTTAATGGTGGTGCTATATCATGGAAAAGTAAGAAACAAACCTGTACAACCCTTTCAACGATGGAATTTGAGTTCGTGGCTTGTGCGTCTGTAGTACAAAAAGCTGTTTGGTTGAAGAGATTCTTTGAGTATTTGGATATTACAAAGAACTCTTAGGGTCTCATGACTCTATATTGTGATAGTAAAGCGGCTATTGCATATACAAAAGATCCAAAGTATCACAGCAAGACCAAACACATTGACATCAAGTATAACTTTGTAAGAGACATGGTAGCAAGTGAAGAGATAAATTTACAGTACATTCCTACGCAAAGCATGATAGCTGATCCTTTTACAAAGGTGATATCTAGAGACCTGTTTGAGAAACATGTTATGGCTCTAGGTTTGCGAAGGATATGAATATATTTATGTATTGTAGAACGACTTAAGTATTATAATACACTCATCAATATTTGACTCTTGAATTTGTGCTTATATCGCGTGTGCATGTGATGAATATTTTGTTAATAAAGTGTGTCGAACAAGTCGCGAGATTGGCTCTCTCACACGAGCAATCGCCTCTTACATTAAGAATCGTGAAGAGACGAGACCTTATAGAACCTTGGATAATGTGAGGTTATATTCACTTGTAGAGGTCGGTCATGACAACTAATCAGACTTATGAATTTTACAATTCGATTATGACTTGTTTTGTAAGCCAGATGGAAGTTTCTCTAAGATGATGGTTTGAGGATTATTGAAGTGAGAAACTTAGGTTAGAAATTTGGAGGTGTCTAGACCAAAATCTGTACGGTGTTGAATGATTAAAAGAATAAGACACACGCGCCAATATAAGGTGAGAACATCGTAACATGTGTTTCATACCACGTGTGCTATCGACCATGGGATAATGGAAGAATGAATCCCTGTTTCTTCATTGTGTGAGATCCCAAAGAAGTTATATCAACTTTTATAAGAATACCCTTTGATCTTTTACTGTCTCTCGAAGTGCCAATCAGTGTTGCTACTTTAGCATGTCACTAATAGCCATGCGTGATTCGCAATGCAATGCATGTCTAGGAAAGCAGCTGATTTGGAATGGAAAGATTCGAGTAGAAAGGGAAGACGACTAAAATTTAGTAATTTAACCTGTATTCATTGGTCGACCATTACACTTACCATGAGGGTATTGGGTGTAATTGTGGATACAAAGTTCAACATGAACTCGAGTTCGCCTCTTTTCGAGGATGAGGGATCGGATAACTAGCTACTAGAATAGCCAATAATGTCTGGGGTATTGCGAGTAATAATAAGATCCTTATGGTAGTAGTAAATCCTTTCCGCGTGTGATTGGATTTCTACATAGAGCTATTAAACAACCTTAAAGGGATGAAAAATATTATGGCTCTTAATGCTCGCAGGTCGCACGAACTATTTGCAGGTATGAATTATGTGTGTTGCTTTCACGGTAGTTACTAGTTTGGATTTAGTCCACCTATGCGAAGTGGGAGATATTGGATATAAGGTTTGGGTCATGGGTCGCCCTCGTGGACTGACCCGACCCGTTTTAAAAAGAGATAAAACCTAAGGAGGTTATACGTATGTTTTATAACTCCTAAAACTACCGCACGTTTTCTTTTGAGAGACGTGGGAACGTGGAGTGGTGGTTTTCATCGGTAGTTCTCTCCATCTCCTCTTCTCTATATACTTCTCTTCACTACAGACATTCAGTAGTGCAAAACACTGAAAATGAAGAACACGGTGAACTTTAGGCATTTAGTTTGTGAACAAAAACTCTGTTTCCTCGAGATTCAGAATACGATTTGGTGCAATTCTTTTGGTGGCGAGTTCAACGGTTTCTGCTGCATCAATAAGGTACACAATTCGTTGTTCTCTCCCCTCGGTTTAATCTATCACTATCTATCTTATTCTACAATTAATACCAGATAAAAAGTATTTAATTTGCTACTTATCACAATTAAATTTAAATTTGGAGCATTTAACAATTGGATTTAACCTTTATGACAATTAAAATGCAATTTGTAAATCTCCACTACCTTGCTTTTGGTGAAAAAGAAAGAAGCACCTTTGTGAATTTTGTACACAACTCTAGATTGAGATTTTCATTCATTTCCACTACAAAGGAAAATCTTCTTAAATGAAAGTTTCTGTATGAAAAATTATGCAATTCATCATCACAACTAAAAATGAGAATCTTCTTAAATGAAAGTTTCTGAACGAGAAACTATACAATTCGTCATAATGATTTTGTTTTGTTGACATTATTACCAATCTACTCACATTAATCATCAATTACATCACTTCTCCTTCATTTTTTTTACTTAATTTGCAATAAGTGACCAATTTGTCTTGGGCACACCCATTAAGTAAATACTAAATTCTAGACAAAAATAATAGGAAGACCGGCGTGATAAAGTGACACAAGTATATGTGTCATTTAGACAATTCTGCCCTTTTTTTTTGTTTTTGTTTTTTGTTTTTTGGACAAGCTTTAAGCACAAGCTTGTTCACAAGAATCCTTTTAATATTTGTGATTAACAAGCAAATCATGGTCACATGTACAACTTTGTAACTCATTTTAATCAACCATATATACACACGAATAAGATTTTTTTTATGTACATAAATGAATGTGTTCTCATCATTTTTTTTCCGCCCATACATCCTTTTACAATTGATAAATTTTTAATACATAATTTCCTTGACAGAATTGAAGCTCTTTCCCCCAATATTTTCGAAGCTAATAAAAATTTTGTAAGTGAATTCTTTCTAAGGGATTTTGTTTAAAACTAATTCATTAAGCAAATCACCTTAAAATGTATTACTACTATAAATCGAACTAAACATCACTAAAGGAAAAAAAAAATGACTGCTGGGATAAAATAGGACTAGAGTATTTAGTGGACGTTTGAACATAAGAATTGTAAAATTCCAAAAAATAAAGTGAAAAAAAAAAAATTCAAGTGAAAATAATATTTGAAAATTAGAGTTGTGTTTGGACATGAATATAATTTTGGATTGTTTTTGAAGTTTTGTGAGTGATCTGAATAAAAATTTTGAAAAATAGTTTTTTGGAGTTTTTCAAATTTTCGAAAATTTCCAAAAATCATCTTCAAGTGAAAATTGAAAATTTTGTGGCCAAACACTAATTTTCGGAAAAAATAAAAAATAAAAATAAAAATTCTTATGTCCAAACGGGCTCTTAAAATCGAACTTGAGAAAAAAATTTCCAATAATAACTTCCATTTTTTTTTTTTTTTAACAAATTCATCGCTATTTCCAGGGCAAAGCTGATATTTAAATCCCCATTCCAAACAAACGTTCCCTCCCCCTTTTCCCAAAGGCCCGAACCATCCCCCGACACTTTCTCTAAATAGGCAAAAGTCACTCTCCTTTCTACGGTGTCTCTGTCTCAAAATTAAGGCTGCGATTAATATTAGGGACCTTAATATTAGCAATTTAATTTGTTCCTCAAACTCCCTCCACTTGTCACAAATCTTTACTAAGAAAGATCACCCTCCCTTCTCTTAGGGTGGTGGGGAGGGGGGAGGGGGTAATGGTGTTGTGAAAAGTTTCAAGAATGATAAGATAGAATTTATGATTTGGGATAAAGGGGTCTTTAATAGAATCTTTTCTTGAATTTTTGGACAAACATGGATGACAATTAATTACTAGTAACAAACACACATTTGTTGAGGTTGTTTTCTTATTTGACTTTATACATGGCTCTAGTAATGCAGTTTCGGTCCACATTGGTATTCTTACGTTGGATTTTGTCCTCTATTCAATTGCTCTTCTTATAATCTTCCCTTCGACTCTCTGTTTCGTTTCGGCTGATGATAGACTCTTAACATATTTTGTGAGTTCCTTGTTTCTTCTATTCTTTTTTATTTTTCATTTGGATATTTTCTGTTTTGAAGGCGAGCGTTGGCGTAACTAAAGTTGCTGTCAGGTGGCCACCGGTTCAAGTCGTGTAAATAGCTTCTTATTAAGGCTCTGTACAATAGACCTTTGTGGTCCGGATTCAAGCCGTGGAAATAGCTTATTGCTAGCGGGAGCTTAGTGCACCGGGTTGCCCTTTTATTTTCCCTGTTTTATGATTTGATCGTAGTTTTTTTTTTCTTTTTTCTTGTTTATGATGCAGAGAAGGAGAAAGCTGTAAGTTTTCGCGTTTGTGTAGAGCAATTGTCTTTGCTTTTGTGTTTCATAGCGTCGCACCAACTTGCATGCAACTGGACTATTTTATCGGGTACCTCCTACATCCCACTCGTCTACAAAAAAATAATCTATACTCTTTGTCTTTCTTACCTTAGGGCCCTTTTGTTCTTAGCCTGTAATCTGTATTTTTTTTGGGAGGGTGGGGTGGGATGGAGTGGGTGGCTGGGTGGGGGTTC